GGATGCCATTCTTTTTCATAATTAGATAATAATATAAATATTGATATAAATAATATAAAAAAATATTATATTAAAAACTATAAAAGAATGGATGCCATTCTTTTCGTAATTAGATAATAATATAAATATTAATTTAAAAATATAAAAAATATGTAATAGACTCTCCACCTACACCAACTTATAATTAATCATTAAGCAAACTTGAGTAGGTTATGGAAATTAATACGAAGGAAGGAAAAGCTACCAGATACCCTACTTTTTGTTTTTTTTTTTCAATTTCTCAACATTCCTTCTTGTTTGTCTTTTGTTTGAAAATCAAATGATTTTAAAAAAAACAGAACGTTGCCTTTCCCTTCTCACGGTAATCTCTCCAAACCGCCTTTCCCTTCTCACTGTAATCTCTCACCTAGCCCTAACTGGTTCCCCTCTTAAAATCAACCAAAAACCATCCAAAAATTTGCTTCTCCCTAATGCACCGCCCTCTCCAATGCACTCTTTGCTGGTTTCTCTCCTCCACTTTTCCAAAATTCATGCAATCCTCACCCAGCCGACCAGCCCCATTGCTCACCTCTTAAAATTAAATCCCCCAAATCCCATTTTCAGATCCATTACTCTATAATCCCTTGAACCCAAATCTGGAAAATACCATAAACCCATACATCGATCACCATTGAATTCTCTAATTTCAAAATCATAGAGTAAAAACAAAAGGGATGAACAAAAGGAGCCTCCTTTGGGGGTGGAAGTGGCCGGAGACAGCAATGTTGGTGATAGAAAAAAAAGAATCATAGGGAGAGCTCGACTACAGGGAAGATTTGTCATTTAGGTGACCTAAAATCATTTTCTCTATAAATGCATGACTTATTTTATTGTTAAATTGTTGGCTGAAATCTTGAAAAAATGATGGAATATGTCTATCATACCTCTTGCTGCCTAATCCTCCCACGAACTTTGTTTCCCACTCCTTAGTTGATGTAGTTAGAATTAGGGTTCAACTCTTTGTTATATATTGGTTCAAAGGATAAGTCTGGAAGATAATTGAATAGCGTTTAGATAGAATTGAAATGGGCAAGTTAACATTTCTATTGGTCTAGAAGAGAAAAAAACGCTATTTAACTTTTTTTTAGAGTGTTTGTGATAAACTTTAATTATTTAAATTTAAAAATTGAGAAAAATGAACTTTGAAAAAAAATCAAATCTTAAATTAAAACCTAATAATTCAAAATAAAAACACATATTATTCTTAGGTTTTTGTTATCGGTTTTTGAAGAATTTTAGATTTCAAAATCAGACTTCTTCCCATCGTCCCTTGAAGAAAATTGTAGTTTCTCTTGATTTAAGGATTTGATGGCAAAATCCAAGGTAATATTTCTTTCAAGTTTCCTACAACCTAAGGCAATCTTGTCATCTTAACCTTACTAGTTGGTGTTTATTGATGATATTTATTTTTTTCTGATCTAGTGCTTTTTAAGCTTCCTCTTTATTGATGTTAACATTACAATGTTTTTAGCTCTTTTTTATTAATTCAATGCTCAAGATTTTCAATTTCTTAGTGGAGCCTATAAATAGTTTTTAGTTCTTCCTATTTAGGGGCACTCAACTTCGGTTGTGGTCCTTTAAAATTTTGTAAAACTTCACTAATTAGCTGTTGTTGCATTTGCCAATTTAAGGGACATATTTTGGTTTCATTTGATTTTTGAGGTGATGATTGACAAGCTTCAAATGAAATGCTTATTGGAGCTGCTTATTTAGTGGTTATACTAATGGTCTCAGTGATTTTTAAATGAGTATAAGAAACTCTGTTAGGGAAGAACACTACTGCAGGAATGGGATTTCCGAACCGAAATATCGGTCCGGATATATAGGAAATTGGTCTGAATATATATATCCGGACCGATATTGGTCCTTATAGTTGATCTGAAAAAACCTGGTACGAATAAGTCTAATATACAGACCGACGTATAATCGGTTCGTATATATATACTATCCGGACCGAAATCGGTCCGGATATTTCAGTAAGAAATATAAATAATTATTGAGAAATTGAAATAAGCGGACCGAAATTGGTCCCAAAACAATAATATAATAAAATAATAAAATATATACGAACCGACAACGGTCTGTAACTGTGGCAGAAAGAGGCATCACAAATATATACGGACCGGGATCGGTCCGAATATTGAGGACCCAGCTGCAACTTTTAAAACTTGCAACTATATCCAAACCGTTTTCGGTCCGAAGATTGTGGACTTGCATGTAACTTTTAAAAGTTCCGTCTCCCAACAGGCGTCATTCTCAAACTATATCCAGACCGTTTTCGGTCCGAACATATTGGACTTGC